CCCCAAAACCCCAAAACCCCGCATCTTAAGATTTTGATTATTCGTGAAATATTATTAATATACTTAAGTGCATAATTATAATTTTGAAACTCCATTTCAATTCTACTTCTGTTTTTCACCTACTCTCTATAGATTTCTTTATCTAATACGATACTAATCTAAGGGGTATATAAGGGCTCCAATAAAGTTAATGAATAATCCGAATGCCATCAAAAAGCTCATTTTATCTTCCCTGAAAAATATCTATCCAGCATAAGATAATGCTACATCTCTTAGACTTCCTATTAGCAAATATTTAATAATGAGAATGCATACCTGTAAAGTTAGGAGCTAATGAATCAACCAATGTGACCATCATTAGATTAGTTAATTAGATTACAATTCCCATAATTCCAGAAAGGAATAAATATACTAAGAATTCTAGTTTCATTTCACTTGAATTGCAGTTTTAGAATGCATTAGTTATATCATCTATGTTGCCTGTTAAGATGAGATACCCGATTGCAAAGAATACACCTGTTAATGAAGTGTAGAAATTAATTTCTAAATACAAGTATTAATAAATAAACTATTGATTGATTTTAATAAGGATTTAGCTTATAAATTTAATAACTCTTGTATACTTACCGAATGTTATTAGTTTCTTCTCAGAATTCACTTTATTGGAATAAACAGAATATGCAGCACCCAAAATATTGGTCATTAAGACAACAAAGTACCCAAACCAATTAGTATCAAAACTGTCCCACTATAATGAATCAATCATATTAGTTTGAGATTTACTCCCGCAATAATAGCTCCTGATAACAGAAAAGTTAGTGATACCTTAAGATTTGTCGATATACTGCTTCTATTTACAATATAATTTATTGATACTGTTGCAAAAATGGCACATCTTCTGATAGTTAGAAATCTAAAACATTATTCAATATTGCTAAATATTACAGTGGAATACTAAGTATTTTTGAACCATACAAACTTAAGAATAATGCCATAATGTTTAATGAACTTAACTTGAAGCCTAGTGAATATTTTGATAAAGCTTCTGACATAGTTGGTACTCGAGACTAGATATTATCAAGTGATCTGAATGCTTTCAAATTAAATTCCTTATATATGAACATTGCTGAGCAGATAACAATGTTGCATGTGCATTAAACAAGCAATAACTATAAGCATTTAATGATTCTGTGTCACTTACAGTAACTGGACTTTTAATTTTGAACTGATTGAACAATGTCTTGTTGACAATGCTCATTAGAGATGAAAAAAATGCATAGCCTACGCAAACTAATATCTTAAATAGCAGAGAAGTTTAGCTTGGGTCCTTTGATTCATTATTCTTAGTTTGATCTTAATTCTAAGAACTATTCAGCGTTTAGTTATCAGTTTTCTACTATTAGTTTAGATTGGTACTTTAGGTTATATGCTGGCTCATATTAACTAGAGATAAATTTATTTGATTTCTAATATACCTACATTCAAATTAACTCGTAATTATATAGAGTCATGGGGTTTTGGGGTTTTGGGGTTTTGGGG